GCGAAGCACTTTTATGTTAAGTTTGTGAGTAGAATGTCAAGACTTTACACATCGATGAATATTTCAAAAAAGCGTTTAATCCTTATAATTCCAATAACGAATTTTTTAAAAATATTTAAATTATTTCTCTTTGAGGCCTCCATACAATCCGTTATTATGTTCCCCAAACGAAGTTGGGGAACATATTGTTTTTACTCTGTTTCTTATTATTATGTTCCCCAAACGAAGTTGGGGAACATATTGTTTTTACTCTGTTTCTTATTATTATTATTATTTTTCTTCTCGGGAAAATTTTGTCCGCGAATGATCTTGTAAAGTACACATCCGATTAAGGGAAAACCTTTTTAGGGTAAGTAGGCATGTTATGTAGATTTGCGGAACGAAGGTCATTTTGCGCGCACGTGCTTGCAAGAGCGCGCACGTGCAACACGTGAAATGACCAATATACTTGAAATTGCCGCAACTTTTACATTTTTCGATGTAATGCTTTGATATTTAGAATATAAAGACATATTAAAAATGTAGATAAGATGACCTTGTAAACCTGCCATTTTGCGCGCACGTGCTTGCAAGAGCGCGCACGTGCAACACGTGAAATGACCAATATAATGGATATAGTCGTAATTTTTCTATTTTTTGATGAAATCTTTTGAAATTTATAATGTAGAAATATATAAGTAGCAAAGACAAGATGACATGACCAAAATAGCAAGATGTCACGTGCATGCACGTGCGCTTCGCTCTGATTGGCTGAAACTAAAGTCTCAATATCTTTCTTGTTTTTTGATAAAATCCTTTGAAATTTTGCACATAGTCAAACATTATGAAGATATACAGCATGATATATCAGAATTATCATTAAAGCATGCGCAAGAACGTGTGCTGCAATCTGATTGGCCGAAACTTTAAATGCCTATAACTTTTTTAGTTCTCAACAAAACGGGATGAAATTTAGAATATGAATAGGTATGATGGATTACTACAGTATGCTACTATCAAAATTGAATGTAAAGACATGCATGCATGCACGTGCACAATATGAAAATGACCAATATATATGAAAAACGGTCACATTTATATTTTTTATGATTTGTCTTATTGATTCTCACGACACAAAGAAATGTTAATGGTAAAGACAACATGCCATGATCATCTTGCATGTGCATACACTTGCGTGCGCGTACAATGCATTAAATGACATATGATTGATAGCATTGTAGCCTTTATAATTCTTTGATGAAATACTTCGATACTGATCATATTGTCTTAAAGGATCATATATGTCTTAAAGGAATTAGGCACAAAAAGCGTTTTGGGGAGTGTTTGGGGAACATCTGTAACGGTCCCCGTTACAATTAGCACTAGTTATTATTATTATTATTTTTTTTCTTATTTGTTCTCCGGTACTTTTTTGTCCGCGAGTGTTCTCAGAAACTGTTCACCCAACTGACCTAAAACCTTTTTAGGGTTAATAGGTGTGTAGTGTAGGTGTGCGGAACGAAGGTCATTTTGCGCGCATACGCCTGCACGTGCGTGCGCGTGAAATGAGTGAATTGACTGATATACTTAATATAGCTATAACTTTTACATTTTTTGATGAAATGCTTTGAAACTCATTACATAAGGATATATTAATAGTCTTAATAATATGACACTGTCAAATTAGCACGAACTCACGCGCATGCACGTGCGCTGCAATCTGATTGGCTGAAACAAAAATCTCAATATCTCTTTTGTTTTCCGACGAAATGCTTTAAAATTTTTAACATTGTCATGAATTAGGATATCCTACAATATAATATGGAAAAATTTCATGAAATCACGCGCATGCACGTGCGCTGCAATCTGATTGGCTGAAACTTTAAATGGCTATATCTCCTTTGTTTTTTGACGAAATGCTTTGAAATTTAAAAAATAGTCATGCATTAGGACATCCTGCAATTTGATATACAAAAAATTTCAAGAAATCACGCGCATGCACATGTGCTGCAATCTGATTGGCTGAAACTTTAAATGGCTATATCTCCTTTGATTTTTGATGAAATGCTTTGAAATTTAAAACATAGTCATGCATTAGGATATTCTACAATATGATTTAGAAAAAAATTCTTGAAATCACGTGGATGCACGTGTGCTGCAATCTGATTGGCTGAAACTTGAAATGGCTATAATTCCTTTGGTTTTCAACGAAACAAGATGGGATTTAGAACATAGATAGATATAAGGGCCTCTAACAAGAAGGTATGATCATCATGCACGTGCACGCACGTGCGTGCATTTGGAACTAATGAAATTAAAAATACACTTGAATGAGTGATTTTTAATACTTTTGGACTAAATGCTTTCATAAAAAGTATATTTAAATATATAGAAAGTGTAGGCAAGATTATATGATCATAATGCACGAGCATTCACATGGGCACGCGTCAATGTTAAAATTTGAATATAATTGGTATCCTGTTGGGAAAACGTTGTTAAAGTCAAAAATGTACAGATGCTGTCTTATTTAATAAGGCTTACAGGGAATGTGGCACCAAAAGGGAGTTGGGGAGCGTTTGGGGAACATCTGTAACGGTTCCCGTTACAATTAGCACTAGTTATTATTATTATTATTTTTCTTCTTCTTCCTGGAACTTTTTTGTCCGGGAATGATCTTGTAAACTATTCGTCCGATGTAGGTAAAACCTTTTTAGGGTTAGTAGACATGTTATGTAGATTTGCGGAATCAAGGTCATTTTGCGCGCACGTGCTTGCAAGAGCGTGCACGTGCAACACGTGAAATGACCAATATAATAGATATAGCCATAACTGTTCTATTTTTTGATGAAATGCTTTGAAACTCATAATGTGAGGATATATTAGTAGTATAGACATGACGACATGGTGAAAATAGCAAGATCTCACGCGCATGCACGTGCACTTCGCTCTGATTGGCTGCAACTAAAGTCTCAATATCTTTCTTGTTTTTTGACGAAATCCTTTGAAATTTTGAACATAGCCATGTATTAGGATATCCTACAACATAATATATAGCAATTGTCATAAAAACACGTTCATGCACGTGCGCTACAATCTGATTGGCTGAAACTTTAAACAGCTATATCTCCCTTGCTTTTCAACCAAACAGAATGGGATTTGGAACATAGATAGATATAATGGACTTCTACAAGTTGGTATGCTCACCATGCACATACATACACGTGTGTGTACAAGTGCTGCAATCTGATTGGCTGAAACTTTAAACAGCTTTAAATCTCTTAGTTTTCACCCAAACGGGGTGGAATTTAGAACATAGATAGATGTAATGGACTTCTACAAGAAGGTATGGTCACCATGCTCATGTATGCACGTGCGTTCACGTGAAATGAGTAAAATCAAACATACACTTGAATGAGCGTATTTTATTAATAATTTTGGATTAAATACTTTAATACTCAGTGTATTAAAATATAGATTGTGCAGACAAGATGATAAGGTCATGACGCAAATGCATTCACATGTGCACGCGTGAAATGCTAAAGTTTAAATGATTTTTGTACACTTCTTTGTAAATGTTGTTAAAATCTCAGATGCATAGAGTTTGTCTTATTTAATGAAGCTTACAGGGAATATGGCACCAAAAGGGAGTTGGGGAGCGTTTGGGGAACATCTGTAACGGTCCCCGTTACAATTAGCACTAGTTCTTAATACTTTATACCGCAAAGGAATTTAATAGAGATGAATTTCGATTGAGTTCAACTTTAATTGTCAAAACAATCGATAAATAAACTTATAAAGACTTATCGAATGTTTTTAAGTCAACAAATATCGTAATTACGAGCTTACCTCAGATCAGAATAAATTAAAGGAAAACAGTTTTTCAATAGCAAAATGCAATCTTCTCAAAACTTTTTAATTGCTATTTTCATTTATAGGCCGAACAGTGTATACCCTCCAAACCTACTAAATGGGGGTTAAAAGTCTGGCTCCGGTGTGACAGTTTGTCTGGATTTTGCCATCAGCTTGACCTGTATCTCGGAAGGGACCAATACAAGGGTGTTCCTGTTGGCCAGACTAGTCTTTAAACTTACAGAGGAACTACAGGGCAAAAACCATCACGTTTTCTTCGACAGCTTCTTTACTTCAGTCGAACTGGTTAAAGGTCTGCTCACCAAAAAGATCTGTTGTGGTACGATTGTGAAATAGAAAGGGATTCCCCGGCGACCTGAATCAGTGATGCAAAAATTCTAAGGAGATTACGTAACACGGTATATATCTGAAACTATACTGAAACGCAGTTGCGGGTCTGATTTATAAATACTGCCTTTTTTTTTTTTTTTAAACGTAACCATTGTAAAATATGTGACTAATGAGTAAATGATAAGACGACCAATTAACAGCTACTGTGTGGATGGATAACTGACCACAGGAGTCGGCAGTTTTATCAATAAACTAAAAATAAAGTCAAAATCAGTAAAAGCTTAGCCATGAGCTTCGCTCACGAAGTTAGTGAGCGAAGCTCATGGCTAAGATTTTACTGATTTTGACTTTATTTTTAGTTTATTGATAAAACTGCCGACTCCTGTGAACTGACCCGTGTCAGTTTTGTCAACAACAATGACATCGCCGCTTGAGATGGCTACTAATTAATGTATCCAGGCGCCTGAAAGATGGTTGAGCTGTATCCGTCCTCTGACATTTTTAGCGCTTTACAGTGTTCATGTTTTCTAACACATATCCCTAATTTTTTAGGCTTCACAATAACTTCATTTTTAAGCGCTAAGCGCAGCGCAAAGCGCTTTCTGGCAGCGTAAATCCACTTCCGTCGCGGTTCCAGCGCCACTAAACAAGTTCCATAACTCGCAACTCTTTTGATTATAAAAATACAACGGAATTCCCCTTCTCTAATTTTACATATAAACTGGTTCTCATAATATGGTTATAATTTCAACACAGATAAAGTCAGAGGAGTACCGATAATATTCATCCGGGGTTTTTAAGCAAAGGTAATCGGAGAAGAAATAGTTCCAACGTATACGCTTAATTTTAATTAAAATAATCTATGGTAACTGTATTGAATTTATGATAACATCGATGTTCGAATTTAATAAGAGTAAAATATCCATGACACGCACAGTTTCCTTCCACTTTTTTATGAAGAATTTTCCGGCGGATGAATCTCATCTCAAATAATCAGAGAGGGATGTGTTTACATCGTGGTGAAGCATTTCAATTCGTAGATGAGAGACTGGGCGGACGGAATTAGCGAAGTGTAAACAAAGTGTATTCTGAGCTGTGCAAGAAGGCGGAGATATTCAACAAAGTTCAACTGAAAGGTAGATTTAATTTTGTTTGCTTGAGATTTTCTTCTTAGTTATTATCTATGAAAAGGAACGTAAGGCGGGTTAACTCTCCTTAGCAAAAACTACTTTCAAGGAATATGATATCCATGCAGTTATAGATTTGTTGTTTTTTTTTAACGATTTTTTTTAATTATTGATTCACAGTAAACATACAATACAATAACGAAATTAGGTGATTTATGATGATTAGCCTGTGGTGTAACTTGACGTTGTAACATCGCAGCCTGACAAATATGAGAAAATATTGAGAATATCAAGGATATATTGTGGCTTTTTGAGAATTTTGTGAGAGCAGAAAAATTAGATTGAGCTATTCATACATAGATATGTGACTGAAATAGAGAATAAATCAAGATCATCATAATGCACATGAATTTCATGCAATATTATATATTTATATATATATATATATATATATATATATATATATATATATATATATATATATATATATATATATGAATTATTGAATAATTAATTTTCAATTTCATTCTTGATCAATATTGAATACAAACAGAAGTTTCTGTAGTCACAATTATAGTAGTGCCATCAGTATATAAAGAAATGTTGAAATTGTGAGTTTTATATGAGCATATATATATCATGACATTTGTAAGAGAAGTTATGTGTTAAGTTGAGAGAAGTTGATGTTTACATCTCAGATATTGACACTGTTAATTCTCGTATAATGTGTTAGATTATTTTATAAGTTAGTAATTCTTTTGGCAAAAAAAAAAAAATTAATTATTGCAGTTAGATGTGTATTCAATTTCAATTTTATCAACATTGAATATAAAGAATGAAGAAATTTTGTTTTCACAAGAAGTGTTGATATACATTTTAGTGGGAGTATATGAAAGATTGAAATAACACAGGAGAATATTTGCATAAAACTGCATCTCAGATATTGACAATATTCTGAAAACAAGGTGTTATATGTGTCGATAATTAATTAATATTCTCGTCAACAGAATAAACACACTTTTAAATGGAGTGGGGCTCTATTAAGTGAAAATGCATTAATTCATTGAAAATTACCTTTGTTACTTGGTTGCATTTAATTGCATTCAATGTCTTGCTTGTAATTAGTGTTACAGTGTGTAAATTAAGTAAGTCAGTAAATTATTTATTATAGTGACACAGATATTTGTTCAGTTATATGCAGTTTAATATAGTTTCTTACACCTGGGTGAGTGGACATATATGTAAATTTTTAAATTTAAGAATATATCTATACAAGGGCACATAAATGATGATAGATCATATTGAAATGTCCTTTTTGTGAAATATTGACAGGTTTTAAAAGTGTAAAATATAAAAATTGCAGGATGACTGAGAATTTTGCATAAAATATCTGAGAATAATGTATCATCTATAGAAAAATTTGACAAATTATGATTTCCTGTTTTACCCAAGATATATATCCTTTTAATGTCATATAATTTAAATTTTTAAGTTCAAATTTGTTACTGTTACAAAACTGGCAAATTCTGTGATAATCATTAATGAGTCATGATGTCTTCCAAGTTGAAATGTAATTAGATTCTGTATTTAGCACTTTTTATAGTCATAAATGATAGAGTGTAATTAGCATGAGTATATGAAATTTTCTACAAAGAGTCAATAAGATAGATATACCATTAACCTGGAGTTTAGGTAATTGATAATAATTAATGCAATCTTTGATATTGGATATTATCCCCAAACCAGCAACAGTCACATGTTAGAATAGATTAACACCTCTTTGCTTTGTAATAGAACAAGATGGTCATCAAAGTATCCTGAATACTTAGTAATTTGCTCAACAGACCTGGGACAACATTAATATAGAGTCATGTAGGGTTTTCTCAATTACTTGCATTTATTGTATATTAGATGTTTGGGCATATATTAACACCATTTAACATTGTAAGAGAACAGATGGTGATCAAAGTATTTTGAATACTTAGGAATTTGCACTGCAGACTTGGGACATTAATAATAATATAGAGTCATGTAGGGTTGTCTCACTTACTTTCATTTATTTTACATTAGATGTAGGGCATATATTAGCACTTTTAAACTCGTATACATTGCTTTGTAATAGAACAGATGGTCATCAAAGTATCCTAAAACTCAATTATCATTTGCTTTGCAGACTTGAGAAACTATTAAGTTTTTTTAATCATACTTACATTCTATGTGTACAAGATGTAGACCATGTCAACACTTATGAAATATAATTGACAGATTCATTTTAATAGTTAGTATTCATCAGTTAATTGTTCATTGGTCTTTAATGATATCCAACAATAACAGTACATCTTATTTTTTGTCTTGAAAGTACCTGCAATTTAGAGATAACATATTTACTTGTTTACATGTATTGGAAGAGAAGTTAGGTTAAGACATAGATGTTTTAAAAAAAAAAAAAGATTAAATTTACTTAGTCGAGATTGAACTATTTAAGAATTGGGTGACATATTTTGATTTGCCTAAACATGCCAAATGTTACATAATTCTGAAAAAATGGCTCTTGAAATGGATACTCTTAGTAGGAAAACGTATATTCGAGATGCTTTTATTAAAAAAGAACATGCTGTATCTATATTTTTTGAGTTGAAGCAGATTTATGTCAAGGAAATGAAGTTTTCTCAAGTCATTCAAGAGGAAGACAATGTATGACAAATTGTGTCACCTTTCTGATGTATGCATCAGTGAAAAATATTGAAAATATTGTTAAGGATGATTTAAATTTTATCTTAAACAAACCTCTGGTTAAAAGCGAATACTGACAATCCTGCCCATGGCTGTGTATTTCATCCTCAAAATGTACATTTATATAAAAAATATATGACAGTGGGAAATTACAATCTGGACATGGACTTTTGAATTTTTCTGACTTGCAAAATCTGCTCTTCAATATGAAATCGTACCTTTTAAAATTCCCTACACAGATCTTAAGTACTTAGTGAAACTTTATGTAAATTCTCTTTGGCAAATATAGAAAGTGTCAATTTTTTGTCCAATAGGTTCACAGTAAAGGTGTGCTCTACCTTTTCATATACTTTTAGGGAATATAAACTTTTTAATGGTGTAAAAACCAATAGTTTTTGCACAGGCAATTTTACAATACCTGCAAGAAACAGATTTTTACAATAAGATTTAAATGTCAATATTTTTATAAACATTATTATCGTTGTATATTTGTATTTAACTGTTTTTATTTTTAAATTCAAAGTCCGACTAGCTTGAATTCAATTTTTGCAGCAGAGCATAGACAAAAAAAGATTGCTGTATTGATTTTTCATTCATCTGCTGTTGCAATTAAGTATAACAAGGACACATACTTTGTTTTTGACTCTCACAGTAGAGGCTCAGATGGTCTATGTCATCCAGATGGGAAAGCTATTTTATCTGTTTTTTCATCATTTCAAGGTCTATGTTCATTTCTTAGAAATTTGTGCATATCATTAAGTCCTAGTAGTGGTTTACATGAAGTACAGTATGAAGTCTTTGGACTTCAAATAGGAATTACCAAGAAACGCAAGAGAAATACTTTTGATTTAGACATTGATTCAAGTTTTTCTTTTGGTCCAAATGCAGAAAAAGATTTATTTAGGACATTTAAAAGTACTTGTTATAGAACTTTTAGAAATAATTTGGCAGATAATGAGACCAACATGAATTCTACTTCATTGAGTTCACCTTTAGACAATAATTGTTCTTACAAAAAGAAAAGTGATTTTCTCTTATCACACAACTATACTGCAAAAGAAACACAGAATTTGAAAATACTGCAAGGTTTTCAAAGAAAAACTTGTGAGGGACCTTGGTACATATGCAGTTGTTGCACACAGACATGGTTTAAAGAAAGTGTTGTTAAGGCAGAAAAATTGTATCAATCTCTTCAATCAAACTTAGTGCAAAGGTGCTTACTTGGGTTGAAAAGTGTACTTGATATAGAATGGGTATGTATAACATGTTTCAATAACATGAAAGCAGGAAAAGTTCCAGCTTGTGCAGTAGCCAATGGAATGAGTTTTCCAAAAAAACCTCCTGAATTAGATATAAGTGAGCTAGAAGAGAGACTTATTAGTCCAAGAATACCATTTATGCAAATAGTTGAAAAACCTAGAGGTGGACAGAAAAGTTTGAGAGGAAATGTGGTTAATGTGCCTTCAGATGTTAATTCAACTGTTACATCACTGCCAAGAACATTGTCAGATTCAGAAACAATTCAGGTGAAACTTAAAAGAAAGCTTGATTTTAAGCACAGTGTAATACACAAGGCAGTTAGACCAAATAAATGTTTGAAAGCATTGAATTGGCTCTTAAAGAATAGCATACTATTTCAAAATGAAGGGATAAAAATCAATAAGAACTGGAATATTGAATCTGAACAGGATGATTGGCTTGGATTTAATAACGAAAATATGAATGTTACTGAAAATGCATGTAGTTCATCCATTGCAATAAGTTCTGACAATTCTGCCAAAGATAATGATGATTCTGATGATTGGACTGAGGATCCAGCTTTTGAAAACAGGTTGACTGGAAGCACAGATACATTGTTTCATCCTGTTGATGTTAGATCCCTATGCAAATCTATAGCATTTGCTCCTGGAGAGGGACAAGTACCTCTTGGCTTATATCAAGATAAGAATGCTGAATATTTATCTTTCCCTACAATATACTGTGGACAAAAACGCCCTGAAAATAAGGAAAGAGAAACACCAGTATATTAAAGCACTATTTGTAAATGGGAAATGAGAAGTGCTGATAGGCGTGTAGCATGCTCAATACCAAATATTTTCTTTAAACTGAAGAAATTGCAAATTAAGCAAATTCAAGACAGAGTGAGTTTGTCCATGAGAAAATGTCAAATGGATGGGAAGAAGGTGACAGTTAGCCAAGTCCTTGATCCAACATCTTTTGATAATATTGTTAAACTTAATGAAGGATACCGTGTACTTAGGAAATTACGGGGATCACCAGCATATTGGGAAAGTGCTAAAAAAGATCTGTTTGCAATGATAAGACAGCTTGGGATACCAACTTGGTTTTGTTCCCTGTCAGCTGCAGAAAGTAGATGGATTGATCTTTTAAGAGCTTTAGGAAAACTGGTCAAAAACACTGATTACACTGATGAGGAAATTCATGGTTTAACATGGTTAGAAAAGTGTGAACTCATACAGGCTGATCCTGTGACCTGTACTAGATATTTTAATCACAGAGTACAAATTTTTATCAGTGATGTTTTGAAATCATCTGCAAATCCTTTAGGCAAGGTTGTTGATTACTTTTATAGGGTTGAATTCCAACAAAGGGGATCCCCACACATTCATATGCTTGTCTGGGTTGAGAATGCACCCGTTTTCGGAAAATCTGTCAATGATGACATAGCAAGTTTTGTAGATCTTCATGCCACATGCCAAAAAAATGATGAAATACCAGAGCTGATAAATTATCAAACACACAGACATGCTCGAACTTGTAAGAAAAAGGGCAAAAATATTTGTCGTTTCAATTTTCCCTTACCTCCTATGTCAAAAACACAAGTATTAAATCCTTTAAGCGAAATCGAAAAAGAGAAATATCCCAATATCTCAAAAGATTTTGAAAAAATTTCCTCTATCTTAAATGAAATGAAAAGTGGAGTTGAAATTGCTTTTGTTGATTTCCTTAAAAATCTTGAAATGTCTGAGGAACTGTACATAATAGCTCTGCTGTCAAATTTGAAAGCACCAAAGATATTTTTGAAAAGAAATTTATCTGAAATCAGAGTGAATTCATATAATGAAATGATGTTGAAATGTTGGCAAGCAAACATTGATGTTCAATACATTCTTGATGCATATGCATGTGCTGCCTACATCGTTTCGTACATTTCAAAATCTCAACGTGGAATGTCAAATTTAATGCATGAAGCTTGCAGAGAGGCTCAGCAAGGAAACAAGAGTTTAAAGGAACAAGTTAGACATATAGGAAATAAATTTCTAACACATGTTGAAATATCTGCACAAGAAGCTACATATTTAATATTGCAGTTACCTTTGCGAGCCAGTACAAGGGGTTTTGCCTTCATAAATACTGCCCCCATTGAGCACAGGACTTTTCTTCTAAAACCCCTTGATATCCTGGCTGAAATGCCAGAGAATTCAACTGATATTCAGTCTGACAATGCCTTGAAGCGTTATCAAAGGAGACCAAATGTACTGAAAAATTACTGTTTAGCTGATTTTATATCACATTTTGATGTAATTTCACAGAAAAATAAAGAACAAAAGCAAAAGCAGTGTGATGTATTACCAGAAGATGAACAAACTGAACAAGATGAGGATCTGGTGGAAATAGCAGATTCTGATGATCTCATGAATTTGTTGCACATTGAAGAGTTTCCCATGAATGATGGAACAGTTCTTAGAAAACGTAAGACACAAAAAATCATTCGGTATATTAGGTACAACAAAGAGCAAGATCCAGACAATTTTTTTAGAGAACAGCTTATGCTATTTTTGCCATGGAGAAATGAAGCTACAGATTTGCTTGCAGGATATGGAACATTTGAAGAACATTATTCTAACAAAATCAATATAGTTGATGCTAACAAGATGAAATATCAGGTGGACAATGGTATCACTGATTTCGTAGAGAAAAACTTTGATAATCGAATGGAAGACGATCATGTGGTTGCTGCAGAAGTGCAACATAATGAAGAAATTGACTTGCATGAAAAACGAGAGGAAGAAAACATTTTTTTGGTTGTTTTAATCCCAAAGATGCAGGTCATCAATATGACATAGGTCTGGACTTGGGGATAACAAGAAAGCAAATAAGCTCATGTGACATCACTGTAGATACTGTCAGTCATAGTGATTATATGGGCTTACTCAGGCAACTTAATGAAAAGCAAAAGGTTTTCTTCTATCATGTACTACATAAAATGAAAGTAAACGATGGACCAATGTATTGCTTTCTTACAGGAGGTGCAGGTGTAGGTAAAAGTATTGTTACAACTGCACTTTACCAAGCTTTGTCAAGGTTTTTCAGAAAAAAGATAAATGAAGATGCAGATGAAATCAAAACACTTTTATGTGCTCCAACTGGAAAAGCTGCCCACAACATAGGAGGTCAAACAATACATTCACTGTTTTGTATTCCTGCTAATCAGTGTTTAAAATACAAACCACTAGATGTACAACAATTGGATGCATTCAGAGTTAAATTTCGCAGTCTACGAATTATTTTTATTGATGAAATATCTATGGTTGGCAGGAAAATGTTCAATTATATAAATCTTAGACTTCAGGAAATATTTGCTACTGAACAGCCATTTGGTGGTGTAAGTATTATTGCAATTGGAGACTTATTCCAGTTAAAACCAGTGTTTGACAGTTGGATATTTCAGAATTTAGAAGAGGGATATGGTCCTTTGGCAGTAAATTTATGGCAAGACTATTTCAGATTTTATGAATTGACGGACATCATGAGACAGCGAGATGATCGCGATTTTGCTGAACTATTGAACAGATTACGTGAAGGTTTGCAAACAAAGTCTGATGTTGCTCTGTTAAAACAGAGGGTGGTAGCTTCCGATTTTAGCTCTTCAGTACCCCATTTGTATACTATTAATGCACAAGTAGATAATCACAATATGCATGCATACCTTAATGCAGAAGACCACAAGAAATGTGTAATTCCTGCTTTAGATTCTGTTGCTGGAGATGTGAGTGCAGATGTAAAGCAAAAAGTCTTGTCAAAAGTTTCAGATGACCCCTCTAAGACTATGGGTTTGTGTAAATATTTACATATTGTTGAGGATTTACCAGCAGAAATTTGTATCAACATAGATGTCCAAGATGGTCTTACAAATGGAACCACATGTGTGGTAAAGAGGTTAGATTTTCGTGTAAAAAATTCAAAGCGTTGCAGCATAATTTGGGTTGCATTTGAGAATGAAAACATTGGTGTAAATGCTCGTTCAAAGTATGCCCACTTATTTGTACCAGAGATGAACAAATCATGGACTCCTATTTTAGAAATTACAAGAAACTTCACAGTGAATCAGTTTCGTGCATCTCAGGTAATTCGAAGACAGTTCCCATTGCGACTAGCTTGTGCAAAAACAATCCATAAATCCCAAGGTTCAACAATGAATGAAGCAGTCCTTCATTTTGGTAAGAGAAAACAAGAACATATGCATTATGTTGGACTCAGTCGTGTGAGGACTTTGGAAAATTTGTTTATCTTGGAGCTAAATGAAAAGAAGGTCTGTGTATCTAAAGATGTAATTCTTGAAATGGATCGTTTACGAACCACGTCAACCCTTCATTCATGCGTGCCATTGTTGGAGGATCTCGTAGATGATCTTAAGGTAGTTTTTCACAATTGCAGATCACTTCATTTGCACATAAATGATATGAAGTCAGAGAGAAATTTACTATCAGCTGACATTATTGCTGTTGGGGAAAGTAGACTAATGCCATCTGATGACAAGGAAACTTACATGGTTCCCGGATACAATGTGCATAGGTTCGATGATGAGCAACACAAATCTGGCAGGTCATATAGAGGAATTGTGGTTTATTCCAAAATGAATTTGTTAGATATTAAAAGACTTTATATCTTGGAAATTGAAACAGTGCTCTGTCGGGTTATGCATAGGGATGTGCCTTTGCAAATAGTGTTTTTTTACTGCTCACCTAAAAAAGCCAGCCAGCTCTTTCTTTGTCACTATCTCCAACATTTGATTGACAAACTTGATGCAAGTAAACCTTTTGTAATCATGGGAGATGCAAATGTTGATTATTTTACACAGACAAGTGTATCTCGCTTTGTAGATAGTCATAATATCCGACAGATTGTTACATCAGTGACAACAGATTATGATTCCTGTTTGGATCATATTTATACCAATTTAATGTCTCATTCTGATATTTCATGTGCAACTCTAGAGTCGTATTATTCTGATCATAAACCAGTTGTAGCTTATTTGCCCTTCGAAGTTCAAGATGTATAATTTCTGCACAAAGATAATACAAGTTTAATTTACTTATTTCCACCACTTAATGGCTGTTCAAATCAACCCCTCCCCTTCAAAAAAACCTATTTTGTACAGCACTAGCTCACTCACCAACAAACGAACACACTCAATTACATTAGCATACATTTATCTGTTCCAACTGTCTTGCAAGAGAATAATATTTTAAAAGAAAGTTTCCCTTTAAATCTTCTGAATTCTTTGGTGAACTGAATTGTTTATTTGGAAAAATTGCTTTTGTATAATCCCTTTTAATTGCCCCTGACGCTTAGAAAATTGCAAAAAGGGGGTGGTAATTTTGTGTTCTCTATATAAAATTTGTCATATTTTAACTTCAAAAAATTTTTGAAAGGAAAAAATTCATTCAAAGAACCACTAAAATAATGTCTTACTCTTTACTTTAAGTGGAGATAATCTACCCATATAATGCTAAAGGATTCATTTTCCACCAAGAAATTGGATAACAGACAAGTTTCATTTTCATTAATATTCTTTTCAAATTTTGGCAAACTTTTGAATCAATTCTAGATGACTGTAATTACGGTACAGAGTGCCCTTTAATTGACAATTGAAAAAAAAACTAGGGAGCACTTGTAGGGGCAGGGACGGTTAATAGGGATTATACAGGACTTACATTTTAAATATGTTAAGTTTTATGTTTAAATTTAAACAGACATATATGATATTATTTCATTGTAGGATGGCGCACAAATCTCTTTCTGAACTGAGGGGAGCCTGTAACCAACCCACTCCATATTCAGCAAGCATTACTGTACAAGTTGTTAAAGTAGGGCATTCAGCCAGCTTTACAGATTTGAATGGACAACCTGGTGAAATTCTTAATTTTAGTATCGCAGATGAAACAGGAGCAATGCTTGCAACACTCATTGACAGAACGAAGCATTGCAAAATTGTAGAAGGAAAGACTCTTCATGTTCGTCAATTCGTGGTGAAGAATAATAAAATTGCCATGTCTCACAGGACCTCCATAATGGGCAGGCCAAGATTGGAAATCCCGGAAGGAATTACACAAACGGCAATACAGCTAATCTTGCCCGCATCCCCAGACAAGAAAGTTGTAGATGCAAAAGAAATGCCACTCAGGAGCATATTAACAGTAAAAGGACAAGTGACAAAGGTAAAATATGAAAAGCATCTGAATATAACTTGTTTCCTAAAACATGTTTTGTTTATTGCTGAAATAACAAAATATATCAAATTACCAAGTCGCAAAATGTAATTTTGAGAAGAGGAATTTTCTTTAAGTATGCAGTAATTGAACCCAGAACATTGTGTTTTAATAATACTAGTACATAGCCATTTCTTTTATTACTAATCTGACTTATATTTTTGTCCAAAATTTAGAATGAAGCCACCAAAACTGTGAAAGTAAATGGTAATGATACAACCATCCGCACCATCACACTTCAAGATGACGGCGAAACCATTGATGTAACCTTGTGGCGGGAGATTGCTGTGGAGGAACGCAGAATTGGGGAATTTTTGAGGATTTCCCACTGCCTGCTTAATGAGTGGCAAGGTCGCAAGAGTTTAAACTCAACGCGCAACACTTCAATAGAGGTAAGGCAACTCTTTAATGACGGGTAACATGCAACACTTCTCAAGAAAAAAATCAATTCTTTTTGCTTACATTAGGAAAAGTCAAACAAAATATATACAAGAAATAAGATTTATGTTTTAGTGAATGTTGCAGATAACTGATGACATTGAGAAATGTTGTAATGAAATATAAAAGCTAAGACTTTTATTTTAACGAAATTTCAAGACTGAGGAGGTTATCCTGCATCATTGACAAAAACGAGAACTTGATTTCAATTTTACTATCAATTTTAAGAGGGCTCAAAAATGTTGATTAATTCATAATAATAATAAGAATAATTTTTATAGGCAAAAAAATTAGATCAACATGTTGCATTAATATAACTTCAAATTTGTGTCCAGACACCTATAATAGCAAGAGTGAACTTGCTATATAGCTTGTCTAATGAATAGAATGCAGATGGCCAAATACAAGAAATTAAAACTTTTAACTGAACTCTTGCAATAGATGAATTTCACATTCCTAAGAGTTATTTCCTGTTGTCGCCATAACTTTGTCCTTTGTAATCCCAAATGAAAAAAAGGGGGAAACAAAATACTATAACAAACTACTTACAAAACATATGTTTTGAAAGTGTTTTGATAGTATAGCAAATCACATGCAAATGAGCTAACAAAACACTATAACAAGTTACTTTGAAAACACTCTAACAAACTACTAACAAAACGCTTTAACAAAATACTTACGAAACACTCTAACAAACTACTAACAAAACACTGTGTTTTGATAGTATTCCATTAGTATAGAAAATCACATGCAAATGAGGCTAACAAAACACTCTAACAAAATACTAACAAAGCATACGTAACAAATCATCAATAAACCACTAAATTTGAATTTTTAAAATTATAATTAGCAAATTCGCAAGTCTTTGAAAACATCTAAACACAGTCTCATATTGAAACATATTATAAACATCTTGTTTCACAGTATTTTGAATTCCAGGTTTGACATTATTGTTCAATAGACAATAGCACACCATTCCAACATTTAAAAACACCAAGTTCGATTCATGATCACTCTCTTATAGCAATCATTCTCTGCAGTGAAATCCTTTGGTAAAAGAGATATAATTCTCAATCCATTGACCATTTCTCCATTCACATACATTTTCACAGAATTTTCAAGTATAATTATAATTCATTTAACCCAGTGCTTAAAACTGATCTAAGCTGGGTAGTATATGGATTAAAGGTCAATCTTAAAATGAACAAAAACCCAATAAAAACAGGCCATATACACATCCACATTCACAGATTGAAGGTTTAACTGTAGTCCAGTTTAAAAGAACTTTATGTCATGCAATAAATAAATACCTCTGTTATATCCAGATTCATCCTGATTTTGCTTTTTCCAATCAGGGATCAATATATATACTTACACTTTACATGTCCCTTCATCAATCTCTATGTTTCTCTCTGACCTAGTGCTGGTGGTTTGAAAATTGGCGCAAAACTAGTAACACAGGATATAAATAGATAAGTTGTTCTTGGAAGATTTTACTGCTCTTAGATAAGTCAACCCTTAACATGTCTGTTAATCAAATGAAATGCTAACAAAATATTAATTTGATGCAGACAAGTATAATGAAACACTTTCAAAATGCAATTTCATTCTGCAGAGTGTAATGAAACATTAATAAAACACCAACATTGCAATGAAACATTAACAAAATACCATGCCACTCCATCCTGTAAAGTCTTGCATTGATGTTTCGTTAAATGCAACACTTTCAAAACATACTAAGAAAATATAAAAGTATGATTTGGTAGTGTTTTGAAGATATTTTGAAAGTATTTTGTTAGATTTCTTTTTCATTTGGGATACTTTTAATATTTGTAATAAATTTTCGAACTTTATCAAAAATACCTGTTTATATTTTTAATTTTCAAATGTTATCGAATAATTTTGATTTGTACCTTTGTTCCCAGAGTATGGATCTACATGAAAAACATTATGAACATATTCAATCATACATATTTTATGTCTAAGATATGTACCAATAAAATTGGTAAGGTTATAGAGGGAAAACAGTGCATTGCGCAGGTTGACCCCAGATTAACCCTGCAAAGAGGAATAACTTTTGTAAATGTGAAAGTCGTCTTTGGAAAAATAAAACATTTTGTCCCAGATTATTTTTTATTCAATTAGAGGTTTGAAAGATACTGTTAATATGGTAAACATGATACAAGAATTTCTAAATAATTCCAACATAATAATTTCATGTCATACAGTACAAACTTTCTTATTTTTTAATTTCAGCAAATACAGCCACTAGACGTAGAGATAAACGGAAAGGTGGAAGCATTGAGTGTATCTGAAATGTCCTTCGATATTGCCATAAAGGAAAATGGCAAGAATTTCTTCAGAGACTTTCAAGTTGAATTCTCAATGATGAAGGAAGCTTTCGCTGAAGAAATTGAAGATATTGATCTAATGGAGACAAGTGAAGTTGAGGAACTTCTTTTGGCCAAAATTCCATTTCCTGTTAAATTAAGAGTTCAAGGATGCCAGGTATTGCAGGTTGAAATTCAACCAAAC